AACTCCTGGCTCAAGCAATCCTCCTGCCTCAGCCTCCCGAGTAGTTGGGACTACAGGCGCATGCCACCACACCCAGCTTATTTTTTCTATTTTTAGTAGAGATGGGGTCTCACTGTTGTTCAGGCTGGTCTTGAACTCCTGAGCTCAAGTGATCCTCCTGCCTTGACCTGCAAGAGTGCTAGGATTAGGGGGGGAGGGAGGGTAAGGGCATCATACGTAACCTAATCATCTGTACCCCCATAACATGCTGAAATAAAAAAAAAAAAATTTTTATGCAAAAAAAAAAAAAAAAAAGAGTGCTAGGATTACAGGCGTGAGCCACCGTATCCAGCCTATACTTATTAATTTTTAAAGAACGAAAGTAAAATATAAGAGTTAATAATTTATATTTGGAGTTAGGGGAGAGATATTTTGGTGGAGAGGAATTACTAAGTAGGTTGGCCAGCTTTTGGCAGTAGTCTGATCCCTAAGGAAAACTCCCTTAAATTTTTCTGCTTTTCAGCTCCATAGCTTCCATCTCGTTTGAAATAACATACTTTGAGACAGTAAGATTTTTTAAAAGCATGGTTTTTAAGGTAGTATCTAGGGAGGCATTAGGTGTAGAGTTTGAATTTGAGGACTGCCTAAGAAACATTTGTTGCTTTCATTCTTTGTCTTTAACTGTTGCTATTATAAATTTTAGTCCTTATAAATTTAAAATCTACTTCTAAGAAACCTAACTTACCAATCTGATCTTTTAATATTTAGGATTGTTCGGATAAATTCGAGGATTTAAGTGTGACTTCATTTAATCATCTTAAAAAAGTAAAATCAAGAGCAAGGCTTTTAGGAAAGAGCCCAGATGACTGCCATAATCATACAAAACGCTCTGCAAGACCATATACTGCACCGGAGATTAACAAACGACAAGAAAACTACACTGGAAAATTTTCGAGTCCTCGAATGGTTTCAGCAGGCTTAGTTCATATATGTGATAAAACTCCAGATTATGAAATGCGTAAAATGCAGCCAAAAAAAAGATTAAAACAGGATATTGAAAAATGTTCGCTCATTTATGATATTATCCAAATGTTAAACAGGTCAGACTGATATGTGAGGCCAACCATCAGAATATCATTTCGCCTTTAACAAAATGGTTTGGAGATCTCTCTTTTTGTGTGATAGAAGTCAGCAACCAAACTTCATCTTGTTAGAACCATTTTGTTTTGATTAAAATGAAAAATAAACACATGTGATGTAAATGTGTTTTTGTTTATGAACCTTAGAGAACAAGCCCAGAAATACATATTCAGTTTATATTCATTAGCAGAGTTTTGTTTCTCAGCTTTTACCTTTTGCAATATATCGCTCCAATTCATATTTCTATGACTTCTCCAACCTTTGTCACACTCTGAATTATCCCTGTCTAGCCAGTCTCCAGGTTCTCTATTTGTACTTAACAATATTTAGCATTTTTGTTTTTGTTTTCTTTTTAGAGACAGGGTCTCACTGTGTCACCCAGGCTGAAGTGCAGTGGTGCACCCGAAGCTCACTGTAGCCTCAAACTCCTAGGCTCAAGTGATCCTCTTGCCTTGGCCTCCCAGAGCTCTGGGATTACAGGTGTCAGCCATGGATCCTGGCCTGTTTAGCCTTTTGTTATGAATATATTTTTGCTCTTCAGTTCTAGTTATATTTCTAGATTTAACAGTCTGCAATCCCCTAGGCCTTATGGAACTTTTATTAATTTTAACATTATCTGCTATT